CTTCTTCTTCTTCTTTTTCTTCTTCTTCTTCTTCTTCTTCTTCTTCTTATTATTATTATTATTATTATTATTATTATTATTATTATTATTTTATTTTATTTTTTTATTATTATTATTATTATTATTATTATTATTATTATTATTATTATTATTATTATTATTTTAGCAGTAGTAGTAGTAGTAGTAGTAGTAGTAGTAGTAGTAGTAGTAGTAGTAGTAGTAGTAGTAGTAGTAGTAGTAGTAGTAGTAGTAGTAGTAGTAGTAGTAGTAGTATCATTGCCGTTATTGTTATTGTTCTTACTATTATATTATTTGTAGTATTTATTATTGTTATTATTATTATCATTATTATTATTGTTATTACCGGGTGTCTACAAAAGAGGACCCATTTAAAGGGCAACAACTCGCTTATCTGCAGACAAAATTCAACAAAACTTCGAAGGAATTATAAATTCAACAGAGGGACGTTATATTTGTCGATGTGAAAATAATCCGCCAGCATGTTCTAAAAATATCAAGTTTTCAAAACTTCAACTGAAATTGAGTGAAACGGAAAACTTTGCGATTTCTTAAAAATTCAACTGTTTTGTTCTATTTCAAATTGCAACAGAGTATGCTTCGAAGGGAAAATTTACACAAAATTGATATTGCCGGATAAAGTCAAGGAGGTGGTGGCTTTTTAAATCTCCAGATGTTGATCATCTCTCTCCATACCAAATACTCTCTTCTACAGTAGATAATCTTTGTCCATACAACAAGCTCCAATTACGCCACTATAAATTTTGAATAACCCCGTGGTATGTGTCTGGGTCGATACTTAGGGTGTCGTGTTTAACACTGAGTTTCAACTGTTTGATGCTTGTGAATTGTATCCGTACACTCTGTCAAAAAGCAAAAACAAAACAAACAAACAAAAAACAAAGGTTAGAATTTGGTTGGGAAGGGGGGGGGTGTCGGATTGGAGACAGGAGGGAGTAGGTAGGGGGTGGGGCTGTTTATTTGTAAACTATCGGCTTATTTATAGGGTGTTCCTTCAACCTTTGTTGCAACCATCCAAGGGACATCTTGACGGGAGTAGAACGGCCCCATCTCACTGGGACCACGCCCCTACAGCATAACACTTCCTCCCCCAAAAACTTCTCCTCAACTTTGTCAGCACGGTGAAATATCAATCTGATGGGACTGTTGTGGTTTTATCGTCCTTGTCCGGAAACCAGAGCGAGCCGACCACGCCCCTGTAGCTGAAAGTTTTGCATTGGACCAAATTTTGTTTGGAATTTCTTTTTAAAACTTAATTGTTCTGGAATACGTTGATTAATTCCCTTCATAATTACCAGCTTGGCATCCTCATAAGTGGATTCTTGTAAGAAGTTTTGTTGAAATTAGTGCCGAGATGACTGAGTTATTACCATTTAAATGGGTCTTTTTTTTAAGGCACTTGGTATTACATTTTATTACTATTATAGCCGGTGCTTGTATTTCCTACAATTATTTTTTTTTTGTTACATGGGTTTCTTTTTTTTGCTTGGGGG